TGCTATATGATATGGTAGCCATTAGCCCCTCATAGGGACTTAAGTTTAAGTTTTACTAAAAGTAAGTAAAATGTAAAGTTAACTCTTCAGTGTCATTAGCCACATTTCACGAGTGTAGCTCTGTGACCGTCACATAAGACAGCGTAAACACAGAACACCACCATCACCATAGAAAGCTCTGCTGGATCATGAAGAGACTCGTGTCTTCAATTGCCATTCGGTCTGTACTCAAATATCCTTAGCTTATAGCTTTTCATCAGAGAAGATTTTTCAAAGAAGTGATTGAAAAGTACAACTTTTTAATCAAATAGTCTGACTTTGAATGCTGGATTCACCACTTGAAGACTCTGTGACCTGTAGGGACAGTGGCAGGACAATGGTCCTTAAAATCGTTGAAAAGACTGAATAATCTGGGACTGGTGAGATAGGTCAGCAGGTAAAGGCACCTACCATCAATCCTGTCTACCTAAGTCAGATCACCAGGACCCATATTCGGAAAGGAGAGAGTGGATTCCCACCAGTTGTCCTCTGACCTCTACACACACACACACACACACACACACACAGAGAGAGAGAGAGAGAGAGAGAGAGAGAGAGAGAGAGAGAGAGAGAGAGGGAGAGAGAGGGGGGAGGGAGGGAGAGAGACAGAGAGAGAGAGACACAGAAGAGAGACAGAGAGAGACAGAGACAGAGAGAGAGACAGAGACAGAGAGACAGAGACAGACAGACAGACACAGACACAGACACAGAGACAGAGAGACAGAGAGGAGATTAAACAATGTAATTTATAGAATGTGCTTAGGATAATGCCAACTCCTAAGCACTCAGTATGTTTAACTACTATTTTTGTATCAGTATTTTAGAAATCAAATTGATATTTGTTACCTCATTAATCTGAAAGCTCATGATTTGTATTATCTTGGGATAATTTCCTGTCATTATCCTCTCTCTCTGCTTGGGATAAACCTGGGGCTTCATGCATGCTAAGCAAATGCTTTACCATTGCACTTATCTTTTCAAGTGTCTCCTTGCCTTAATTCTTTTATCTTGTCCTGTCTAGAATTCTGGCTAGCTATCCATTGTATGCTGTCATTTTATCTTCAGTAGCCTTTGAGTCAGCTTGCTTTTCTATAAAATGAGGGGACAAAGAGTATCTATCTCGTAGGCTGGTTGTAAGGAATGAATGAGCTAAACTGTGTAATACATTTGTACCAGTGGCATGTATGTGTCAGCTATTTTTAACACTCTGGTCATAGTTCCTTATTCATTTCTAGTCCTTGGAGATTTTCTTTAAATTATTAGGGATCTTTTATAATAATTTATCTACTCTATTAAAATCAGAAGCTCTGTCTCTTTTGGTTTCAAGCTGTAGCATATACTGTTTTTGTTGTTGTTCAGAATATTTTGCTTTTCTGCGTAACACCTTTCATGATTCTTTAAGATAGACTGTAATGTGTGTGTTAGTTTGATTTGCATTCAGCACATGTCTGAGAGCCCTAAAAAATAACCACAGTTTTCAAAAGTAGAAGTTTCTTTCTTATAAAAAGTAATGAAGTACAGAGGGATGAGATCTCTTCTAGGTATGCTTCTTCTCCATGATAATAAGGGTCCAGGCTTCTTTTCAAACTCTGGCTTCCATTATATACTAGTACTAATCAAGAGAGGAAATGGATTAGGAAAAGTGGGTTTCTTCCACTTAATACATTTCTCTAAAACATACATGCCATTTCCTATTGGTCAGAGCTCAGTCACATGGCTATGAGTGATGCCAAAGGATGTTGAAAATTTTATTTACTTATAGACAGATTCTTATCATGTAGCCTAGGCTAGCCATAAATGTATAATCCTTCTGCCTCAGCCTTCTGAGTGCTGAGATGGGACACATGTGCCATCATGCCTTATCATTCATAAACATCAAACAATGAGGAGAAAACAGACTCGATGGATCTATCAGTCTTTGCTACAGTGCTTCTCCAATGTTGCCTTGAGGAGCCTGTCTTTGTTCATCTTAAGAGAAAAGGACTAGAGTCTACTTTACTGGGACTTCTCTGTGGTTACTGAAAATCCTGTATCCCAACACCTCTTAGCCCCACACATTTCTAGTCCCAAGAAAAGTGGGACCGTTGATCACCCTCTATCTATCAGGACTTAATGAAGAGTAGATCTATGTCTGATTCACTGCTACACATGCTCTAGAAAATAAATATAAGATGAGCGTTTTGTTTTAGCCCAAGGTCTCAGAAGTTTCAGTTCCAAATAAGCTGGGTTTCTTGCCTTGGGCCTTTGATGGCACAGCACATCCTAACAGGAATATGTGAGAAAGGTGCTCACTTTATTGTGAGCAAATGAGAGAGTAGGAGTGGCTGGAGTCCCAATATGCCTGTTAGTGGTATGCCCCAAATGGCGTAACTTCCAGCAAGCCCCACCTACATAGCACCGCATTCCAGGGGCCAAGCTGTAACACAAGAGACTTCGGGGACATAGCAGACCCAAACTATACCAGCACATACTCAATAAAGATCAGAGATGTGCATAGTCTCTCCTCTATGCCAAGAGGTGTTCTGGGTGTTTTACATATGGAATATGTTGAGTTGAGGCTCCTTAAAATTCCTGTTAACATCTTAGTTCCACACAAAGTGGCTTTATTTGGATTAGAGTTTCTACATAAGTAACTACATGAGGTTATGCTGGAGTAGGGTGGGCTCCTAATCCAATATGGCTGGTGTCTTATAAGAAAAGAGAAATCTGGCCTCAGAGACACCTACACAGGGAGCAGGTCAAATTAAGTTTGGAGTCAAAGAAGTGTGAGGAACCCTCTGAGCTTTCTGAGGGGGCAAAGCTCCCCTCTGCCACTGTCTCGGATGCCCATCCTTCACAATTGTGAGGTGGCCAATTTCTGCTGGTCAAGCCACTAATACTGCAACAGTTCTAGCAACCACAGCAATCTTACACAACATATTCACTCCCTTTAATCCCAGCATCTTCTGATAGCTGATGTTCTCCCATTTTACAGATGGCAAAGCTAGAAGTGCAGCAGTTAAGAAAACCAGAGTGACAAGGGAAAGTAAGGAGAAAGAGATCAGAACAAACTGAAGGATAGGAGGAGGGGAAGCTTTTGAAAGGTTACAGTATGGGCCAGAATACAGAGAAAGACTCAAAGGATGGGATTTTAATGTGGCCTGCCCAAAGAATGATACAAGTTCTAGGTTACTATATATACAACCAACATTTTCATTTTCAGATGTGTGAAGGTTTTGAATAAAAATGACCTTCTCTCAGGAAAGCTCCCTCATTTTGGACACTTGAAGTTATTTTATCGCATTTTGAACCTAAAGCTACAGTTCCTAAGAGCCCTGGTCTTGATTTTTCAAGATAGGCCTCATTTTTACTTGGAAAGAAGGATTAATAGTGATCTCTTGTTCCAGGAGCATTATTCTGCAAGGTTTGGATTTTATGTGTTCTATGGATTTGCTTCTGATGGATGAGCTTATCCTTTAAAAGTTTTCTAGTGTCAAATATATGTGTATATATATGTGTATATATTTGTGATATGCGTATGTACGTATACACAGAAGAAGCACACACACAACATAGCTGAAGTGCAAAGTCAGAGGCAATACACAGAAATGATAGGGCTCAGTCTCCTGGAATGCAGAGACCTTCACATGGTTCTGTATCATCAATCAGAAGTATGCATGGATCTTGGGGTAAAGGAGGAGTGGATGCACTTCCTGAGGCCCACTGGGACTTTTTGTTCTGTGGTCCATAAATGGTTAGAGGTTCTTTTTATCAACACAAGTGTATATTCTCACCAAAGGATGCAAAAGGGTTCAGTCGAATTAAAACTATACCTGTCACCTGGGCATTTGAATTCCTTGTAGTCAGGGACCAGCCGGTAAGCAGAGCTACAGTCTTTGGGCAGTCATCAGTCATCAGGGAAGATTAGGAGTAGAACCAGTGAAGATCCATCCAGTGCTTCTTGTTTCCTTGCTTTCCTTTGGTGAATAGTAGCTATGAAAAGGTAAGCAAAGCAAACCAGCCCAAGACGGATATGTTCACCAGGCTAAGAAAGCCCAGTTATGAATTAGTCAAACCCTGGTAAGTTGCCATGACTAGCTACAGGCAGATTTTTTTGTTCTGCCTGCCAGCTCCCAAAAAACCACACAAAGACTTCTTATTAATTATGAAAACGTGGCCAATAGCTTAGGCTTGTTTCTAACTAGCTCTTACAACTTAAATTAACCCATTTCTATTAATTTACTTTCTGCCTCGTTGCTTTATTACCTTTATTCTGTACTGCCCATGCTACTTTCCTGCTTCCTCTGTGTTTCCCATCAGTCTCTCTGCCCCTGCCTAGCTATTGGCCATTTAGCTTTTCATTAAGCTAATCACAGTGGTATAGCTTCACACAGTGGAATATTCCACATTGCATATAGTTTTGCTATGTTAGAGTTAAAGCCCTTTCCTTTTTATTCAGACCAAAAAGGGGGGAATATTGTGAGATGTTTGAGTACACTGCATAAAGATATGTCACCCTGATTTGGTTTAATAAAAAACTGAAGGGTGAATAGCTGGCAGGATTGCCAGGCACAGAGGACACTGGGAAGAAGGGCACAGAGACACTAGGGACACAGAGTAAGCAGCATGGGCTTTACAAAGTAAAGGTAACTGAGCCAAGTAAAAGAACATAGATTAAAAGATATGGGTTAATTTAAGTTATAAGAGCTACTTAGAAACAAGTCTAAGCTATCAGCCAAGCTTTTATAATTAATAATAAGTCTCCGTGCCATGATCTGGGAGCTGGGTAGCAGGACAGAGAAAGACTCCTACAGCTAGTAGATGTGGGAGCTGAGGACAAAGGAATTGAGGGTGGATAGTGGAGAAAGCACACTCTGAGTACTTTTCCCTAAGCAGACTTCAGAAAGTGGATTTGCCTCCTACAATACGTAGCTTGACAAACAATTGTGCCACTCAAATCTCCCCTCAAGAAAGGACTTGCTTGGTCATTACCAAGGTTTAAGAATGCTTTCTCAATCATTGTGGGCATCATCATGAAAAAATTACCACTAGGCTTCCGTCAAGTACCTCTCTAGTGATCAGCCTATTGGGAACACTTTTATGAATCCTTTAGTAAACTGCTACAGGAGGTGGCAGGCTTGTTAGCACATATCTATGATCCCAGCTCTTGTAAAGCGGAGGCAGGGAGATTACCGTGAGTTCAAGGTCAGCCCAAGCTACATAGCAAGACTCTTTCAAAAGAGCCAAGTAATAACAAAACCACTACTGGTTTTATACCCTCTCTCTTAATGGGCACTCTACTACAAATGCTGTGGACGCCATGTGTGATTTTCTAATAGCTATTTCATCCAAAACAAGACTTGAGTCATATTTCAGATCCTCATCCTGTATGCCTAGATGTGTAGAGCATTACAAATTGACTTTGCCTGGCTAATTTGCATTGCATCCCTTCTGGTTTGCTAATGACGGCAGTTTGTATATAGGGAGCTGAAATAGGCTGACTCTAGAACATTCTTGATTTATGGATGATCATCTCTTTATCTGGGTGTTATCACTATGTAAGGCTGACAGAACAACTGTAGATTTAGCATCACTTCTTCTAAAAAGGGCAGTCACTAAGATAAATCTTGTAGTGAGTTTTAAAAGAGCTAAAATGACCTTGATGGGCCATAGAAAGAATTACATGTGAAATCCCTTAAGTAAAAAATGTATTGTTTTGGGGATGGAGTTTAGCATGCATGAGGCCCAGAATTTGATACTTTTAGCATCAGAAGGCAAATAAAATGTAGCCATGCATGGAAGTCTGTGCCGGCACTCCCAGTACACTGGAATCTGAGGCAGAAGGATCATGAGTTTGTTTGTTTGTTTGTTTGTTTGTTTCCAAAGGGTTTCTTTATGTAGTTCTGGCTGTCCTGGAACTCCCTCTGGAGACCAGGCTATCCTGGAACTCAGAGATCTGCCTGCTTCTACCTCCTGAGTGCTGGATGGGATAAAAGGTGTGTGCCACCAAGACCAGCTATGTGTTGTTTCTAACCTAGGCTATACAGCAAGCTAAAGGCCAGCCTGAGCTACATGATATGATTTTATCTCAACAATACAAAACAAGAACACTGACTTGAAAAGAAAAGCCATTTTCACAGGCACAAAAGGTGCTGGGGGTCTTCAGCATGCAGCTGTGGGTGCCTCAGCTTTCAGGCAGCTCAGCCAACTGAGCCAAGCAGCGACTCAAGGACCTGGCTGTGTGTGCTTAGAGTGGAGTGTGGCTCTCTCCATTTCCAGAGCTTCCAATTGACTGGCAGAGGCCCTGTCAGGTTCGTAGAGTAATGAGAGTGCTCCTTTGTTCTTATTGCAGCCATTCCTCTCTACCAACATTGTTGCTCTCCTGTTTAATCAAACTATTAGTTCTGGGAGAATCCAAACCCAGTCAATTCTACACAACAAACAACCACAAAACCTTAACACAAAACACAGCACCTCTTGCTGACTGTGAGTTAGCTGACCAGCTGCTGTAGTTGTAACCTGAGCTGGCTCACTCAGGTGTCTGTGGTCAGTTGTTGGTCCTGTAAACATTTCTGCTGATGTTGCCCTGGGTTGTCTGTCATGCTTGAGTGCCAACCAGTTGTGGGCTGGTTTCGATGCCTCAACTGCGACAGGTAGTCTTTTCTTCCCACAGTGTCTCATTTACCAATAGACTGACCTTGGCTGGCTCATCTGTGGTAAATGGCTTCCAAGAGAACAAGTTGAAGCAAGCAAGGCTTCATAAGGTCTGACTTGAATGCTTGCATCACCATTTCTGCTGTATTCTAAAGACTAAAGCAGGCAAGCTCAACTTTGTGGAAACCATGTCTTGATGGAAGATATGAAAACAGCATATTTTGAAGTTAATATGAAGGGAGGCATAAAAGTGGGGAGTATTTTGCACTAATCTACTGTGGGGAGAATTCCACTGTGGGGTGAAATGCAATGCTCTAGGCTACCTAGAGCTATCTCAATTTACTACATTGCTACTGCCTCTCCAAATTCCTCAGTGTGTGTCTGATGCTTTTGCTTTTTAAATTATCGTTTATTTATTTTCTGAGACAGGGTCTCATGTATCCCATGTTGGTCTTGAATTTGATAAGTATCCTAGGATGACCTTGAACTTCTGATCCACATTAGTGCTGGGATTTCAGGTACGCACCACCAAGCCCAGTGTCTGTAGTTCTAGGGATCAAACCCAGGGCTTCCTGCCGGCTAAGAAAGCATTGTGCCAACTAAGCATGAGGAGTGTTTAGGAGGTGGGCCTGGCCAGTATGTCAGTAAGCAAGGTTGTTAACAATCAGGCACTCCACTGGCCTGCCCTCAGGGATGAGTGGCTTCATCAGCCCCCAAGGTGCAACACATTCCCACTGTCTCCACCAGTCATGCATTCTCCCTGTGTTCATGTGCTATACCCCCTTATAAAAGTCCTTCTCCCCTGATCCTTTTCCCCTTCCTCCTTGCCCAGAGGCAGCCTCTGACCTCACCCCCAATTGACCTGGTATGAGAGCTGTGGCGTGGTATGGCTTTGTGGTGCCTCTTGGCTCCAACCTGCCAAGGTACCTTTTGACTCTTAAATCATTACAATGGGCCTCTGGAAGTAATACCTGGCTCCAGAGCCCCAAGTCTTTCTGTTCCACCATGATGTGAAGAGCCTCCACCACACGCCCTTTGACTGCCATGTGGTCCTGCTATGATGGGTTAAGATTCTCTGAAACCATAAGCTAAAACAAACGGTTTCTCCCTGTGGTGGTTTGAATGAGATCAATCCTAAAGGCTCATATGTTTGAATGCTTGCTTGGTCCCCAGTTGGAACTGTTTGGAAAGGTTTAGGAAATGTGTCCTTGTTCGAGAAGGTGTGTCAGTAGGGTGGGCTTTAAGGTATCAAAAACCCATGGCATCCATTCCCAGTCTCTCCTCTCCCCCCTCTCTCTGCAAGTGCTTATAGATACAGATGTGAGCTCTCAGCTATTCTCCAGCACTAAGCCTGCCAACTTGTCTGTCTGCCTGCTGCCATACATGCTCTCTGATATAAGGATTGTCTTAGTCACTGTTCTACTGCTGTGAGCAGATACCATGACCACAGAAACTCTTGTGAAAGAAAGCATTTAATTGGGGCTTGCTTACAGTTTCAGAGGTTTAGTCAGTTATGGTAGGTGCATGGTGGCACACACAGGCAATGTGCTGGAAAAAGAAGCTGAGAATTCGATATCTGGATCTTCAGGCAGCAAGAAGAGAGAGACACTGGGCTTGGAATGGGCTGCTTGAAACCTCCAAGCCCATTCAGATTGCCCTGTAGGCATTTTCTTGATTAGTGATTGATGTGGGAGGGTTCAGACCAATGTGGACAGTGACCCACTTCTGTCAACTAAGCCACACCTATTCCAACAAGGGATTACTTCCTTAATCCTTTCAAATGGTGCTGCCCCTTAGTGACTGAGCATTCAAATACAGGAGCCTCTGAGAGCTATTTTTATTCAAACCCCCACAATGATCATGGACTCTAACCCTCTAGAACCATGAGCCCCAAGTTAAACATTTTCTTTTATAAGTTGCCTTGGTCATAGTATTTCTTCACAGCAGCAGAAAGGTACCTAAAACACCCTTCTTAAATTGTTCTATCAGGTACTGTGATCACAGCAACAAAAAAAAAGCACATAGTACACATTCATCCAAATTTAATCACTCTTGGAGCCCTGCAATGTTAAGAACCATGTTTTGAAGATTCGGTACTTTTAAATCCATCATTATAGTCTAGCCATTCTTATTTTTTCTCCTCTGAAAACTTCAGCAGCAAATTTTTAATTCCAGTTATTTTATATTTAAGTGAAAGGACCTAAGACTCATACTTTCAACAGAAAAAAAAAAGTTATGTTCATCCAATCATTAAATATCTATTGTGTTTCTATTTGCCTAACATTGTAACACATGTATATTTATATGGTTGTGCTGGCTAGTTTGTGTTTTTTTTTTTTTTTCCGGGGGGGGGGGGGGGGGGGTTTTTTTTTTTTTTTTTTTTTTTTCCCGGGGGGGGGGTGGGGAGGGGAAGGTTTTGTTTTGCTTTTTTGTGTGTAGATATTTTTTGTTTGGCTTTTTGAGACAGGATTTCTCTGTATAACAGTCCTGGCTGTCCTGAAATTCACTTTGTAGATCAAGCTGGCCTCAAACTCACTGAGATCTGTTTGCCTCTGCCTCCCAAGTGCTTGTGTGCTTGTAGTAAAGGCATGTACCACCTAGGCCGCTGGGCATGTGCTGACCAATTTTATGCCAACTTGATATAAACTGGAGTCATTTGGGAAAAGGGAACCTCAGTTGAGATTATGCCCATACCAGATTGGCCTGTAGGCATTTTCTTGATTAGTGATTGATGTGGGAGGGTTCAGACCAATGTGGACAGTGTCACCTCTGGGCTGGTGGTCCTGAATCCTATATAAAAGGAGGTTGAGCAAGCCAGTAAGCAACATTCTTGTTAACAGATTTTTCTTTGGGCTATCAGCTCACATAAAATGACACAGAGACTTATGATTAATTATGAAAGCTCATCCTGTAGCTTAGGCTTGTTCCTAACCAAATCTTATAACTGAAATTAACCCATTTCTATTAACCTATATTCTTTTACATGGCTCCATTACCTTTACTCTGCATTGCCCATTCTACTTCCTCTCCGTCTGGATGGTGACTCTGCCTTTCTTCTCCCTAGAGCTCTCTCTGTCCAGAAGTCCTGCCTAGCTGTTGGCCATTCGGGTTTTATTAAACCAATCACAGTGACACAGCTTCACACAGTGTAAATGAATATTCCATAACATTTCCCCCTTTTTGTCTAAATAAAAAAGAAAGGTTTTAACTCTAACACAGTAAAATTATATACAGTTAGAACAGTTATCAGGTAAGAATTACATTCACAATGTCCAGTCCATTTGTATTTGGTGAATTTAGAGAAAATACTCCATTATCTATCCTTTCTTTGTCCAAAGTTTTATAGCTAAACCACTTTTTGTCATAATTTGTATAACCATCTTAAGAATATCTTTTTAGACCTTAAAACATCTTTTTAGATAAACAACTCAAGCTTTTATGTTT